GAACAGAGCCAGTCACAACACGAGGTAGTGAGAAGTGAAAAGAAGCCTCCTGAAGTGTAGAACAGAGCCAGTCACATAAAATGATGTAGTTAGAAGTGAAAAGAAGCCTCCTGAAGTGTAGAACAGAGCCAGTCACATAAAACGATAATACACTTCATGAGACTTCCTTTTACTTCTAACTACTTCTGTTCCCAGTCACACAAAATGATTACACTTCATGAGACTTCCTTTTACTTCTAACTACGAACAGAACCAGTCACACAACATGATGTAGTTAGAAGTAAAAGGAAGTCTCCTGAAGTGTAGAACAGAGCCAGTCACAACATGATGCAGTTAGAAGTGAAAAGAAGCCTCATGAAGTGTAGAACAGAACCAGTCACACAAAATGATGTAGTTAGAAGTGAAAAGAAGCCTCCTGAAGTGTAGAACAGAGCCAGTCACACAAAATGATGTAGTAAGAAGTGAAAGGAAGTCTCATGAAGTGTAGAACAGAGCCAGTCACAACATGATGTGGTTAGAAGTGAAAAGAGGCCTCATGAAGTGTAGAACAGAGCCAGTCACATAAAACGATATAGTTAGAAGTAAAAGGAAGTCTCATGAAGTGTAGAACAGAACCAGTCACCAACCTGATATCAGTCACACAACATGATGTAGTTAGAAGTAAAAGGAAGTCTCCTGAAGTGTAGAACAGAGCCAGTCACAACACGAGGTAGTGAGAAGTGAAAGGAATATTCTTGAAATGTAAAAATCTTTTTCTTTGTTTATTAATTATGTGCATGCATAGAACTTAAAAGTTATACTGATATTTTAGTATAAAAATATTCTAAATAATCTGTTACTATTAAGAGTTTCATTTTGAGTTTACTTCCTGATTAAGTATTATTTCATTACAAGTTACAGTTTTTACAGTAAGGAAAATTATTGTTTAGTACAGGTATGACATTCTGATCACTGGTGAGATCATTGTCAAATACACAAATTTTAACAGTTAAAAACATGTACTTGAGAATGATCATACTAGTGATTGGAACATCATACTTCTTCTGAAAAATAATCTTCATTATTGTAAAAGCTGTAACTTGTTATAAAATAATCTGTTCCTATGTATTATTTAAGCACGTTACAAAATATATTCCATAGTCCTAGAGACAAACCGAAACAAGAAAGGATATGGAATGGGTTGGTCATCTTCAACCATTAACATTTCATCACCAGCATCTTCTAAATTTTGGAGTTCTTTCTGGAAATTGGATGTAAAAGAATAAAAAAATATCAGTTTAATTTCTCAAGTATAAAGATTCAGAGATAGGCACTCTTGTTACTTTGGAAGAAACAATTTAAGTTATAAACGCACATTTAACACATCACCCCGACTGTGCTGTCCAAACAGGTTCATGCCAATGTTCATATAGAGAAGCAAGATATTAATAACAACAGCAACTTAGTTAATTAATATATCAAGGAATATTACTTTATTCACTGCCTATCTGTTAAACACAAAAAAACAAGTCTTGTACACCATTATATATGCATATAGACACACACACACACACACACATCTCCAACTTTCAACATTAGTAATTAATTGAGTCATTAATACACATCATCAGGACAACTTTCCATTGGATGTAATTTCTTAGTATAAATAATGTGAATTGGTTTAAACATTTTTTTTTGGTAATAATTCTATGTTGTAGTTGTTGTTAAAAAAGAATACTAATTAATTTAAAAAACTTTTTTTTGTGTGTGTGTTCTGTACGTTAATCACATTCAGAAACATGTCAAAAAATTTAAATACATCCGGCATGATAGTCGCAGTTAATACTGAGTTTGATCTCGGTATTATATTGTTTATGTGAAGTGTTAATCAAACTTTATCTGAATAATTTTTATAAACTAGTGTAGTGACATATTGCCACATGTACAAGTTTTGGCAGATACGTGGCATGTTAAGCACCTATATATTTGGTTTACAGCAAAACCTTTCTTAACATGAACATTTCATCAATGAACAATGTCAAATCAAAAGACACAGTAAAATAAACTTTTAATGTTCTCTTTCACAGCAGAACATTTGCAACATGTTGAAAAACCATACTTCAACCCAATCAGGACCAATACCAGCATCTAGGGTCAACCCAAACAGGACCAATACCACCATCTAGGGTCAACCCAATCAGGACCAATACTACCATCTACGGCCAACCCAATCAGGACCAATACCATCATCTAGGGTCAACCCAATCAGACCAATACCACCATCTAGGGTCAACCCAATCAGGATCAATACCACCATCTAGGGTCAACCCAATCAGGATCAATACCACCATCTAGGATCAATCCAATCAGGGCCAATAT